TGTATTAATCAAGACAAACATAACAGACAAAAGTGAACATAAGAAAGTAAAGATCACCAATATTTTAAAAAACTTTCTACCATCAAGCTAGAGCCCTCAATGCTCCATTTCCTTTAAGATGTTTTAAATCTATTAGACGGAACGCTCCACAGGCAGGCTGAAAGAAAGATGATGGTAACTTCACCTTTTTATGTGCCTTTGGGAAGACTAAAGAGAGTCTCATTCTTACTTTACTGTCTTGTTCACCATTACACTGAACCGTCTGTCATGTTCTTTTCCTTTCTTTGCTTCATCCTCACTTTGTTTCCACTGTTGCTTCCCTTTAAACCCTTTTATCTATCTTCCTTTCATTCCTCGCATTCACACCTGTCAGAAAACGTCTGTACAGGTACTCTTTCCACCATTTTTTTTACTTTTACTCTTACCGTTATCCATTCATTGAACCTGTCCTTTCTCTTTTCAGCATTCCCTCAACTCCCTCTCTCTATGCTCTATCGAATCCAGCCTTTCCCCAACCCTTCTTATCACCGTGCTCCTCCCCTCATCTCTCCCTCCTCCTTATCCCGACCTCTCAACACTAGCCGAGCCTCCTCCTTCAAGCTTCCACCACTCTTTGATCTTTGTCTTTCCTTCGCTTCTCTCCTCTTGTCCTTCCCTTCTCCTCCATGGTCATCCCTCCACCTTCCCCTCCTTCCACACATCTATCTGTACATCTCCTCCCCTGCTTGGAGGCGGTCTTCAGTTAAATATTAATTAGTGAGCCCCATCCCGCAGGCTGATAGGGAGCACAATGGAGAATCCCTGCATGTGCCTGCAAGCCTCCCACTAATGAAAGGAGTGTGTGAGCGTGTGTGTGAGAGAGAGAGAGACACACACAGAGAGATTGAAAGAGAGAGAACATAGACAGCGAGAGTGTGAGTGTGTGTGTAAGAGTAAAATGTGTGTAGGTGCATGTGTGTGAGAGATGAAAAGAGACACACCGAGGGCAGATCAAGATTACATGTGCACACACATCATTATGTGTGTCTATGTGTTTGCACACGTGCGTCTCTAAAACAAAGGCCCGGGCTCCGTTGGGGGTTAGCGGGGTGCAGCTAATGATCTGTGTGTGTCCGATTGTCATCAGTTTTTCACAAGGTGGACCCCATTCACCAACTGGTTAATCCGTATTGAACCACCAGATGTGTGTTTCAAAGGCCGTTTGAAACATCAGCCCGCTATAATGATGCAGAGAGAGAGAGAGAGAGAGAGAGAGAGAGAGAGAGAGAGAGAGAGAGAGGGGGGCCTGGTGGAAAACGCTGGGACTTTTGTAGAAAAAAAAATATGAATTTAGGTGTGAAATAGCGCAATTAAAAATCAGCTGTCCTGCTTTAATCGCATTGAAATGACTTAGCCTTACACAAATGTGTTGCTGTAGCAACTAGACACATCTTGAGCGTGAATAAAGCAGTGTGTAATGCTGTTTTAGAGAGATCAATGTGACATTATTCTGTGAGATGTGTGCTGCTTCGTGGCATGGGTGTGCTGACCTTGAATGGGATGGACAAAATAACAGGAAGACTTGAGAGTAATATGGTCCTTCAGTAAATATCACAGCTTTTGTTCGGAGGCTCTGAAGTGTTGATTCAACTCGAGAAATACTCATCGTTTCTGATTGTGTGCTTGGGCCTTTTTGTTAATACAGTTGTATTTATATTTTGCATGTGGTCGAAGGGTTTTTGAGACTTTTCTCTTTATCACATCACATCGTCTTTTACCGTTTTATGACTGGAATACCAGGAGGTCAGACAGCAGCCACTTTATTGTAAATCATAACGACAAAGGCAATTAGACAATGAGCCATTTGAAGTGAAAACCAATTAGCAAAGTGTTGCTGAAAGTCAGCATTTTTTGGCCACACTAGTGTGGCTCGAGGGATGGCGATGGCAGTCGGTCGGTCTGTAAGTCACTCTGGTCCAGATTGAAATATCGCAACAACCTGAATCCTCTCGGACCATCAGCAAGTCAAAGTCTTCCCCTATCCAGTGAAATTATCTCACCATTTACTACAGGAAATCGATTGCCACAAGATTTGTTACAGACATTCATGGTTCCCAGAGGATGAATCCTAAAGCTAACATAAGGATGATGTTCTAATTAGCAAATGTTCGCATATACTAACACAATCAGATCAGATGACAAACATGGCAAACATTACCTGCTAGGATTGTCATTATTGGTTTGGATTTCTACAAAACACTGAAAAATATGTGTAGCAATGGCAAACTGTAATGTCACTCTGAACATTTCACTGCAGGGTATTGTACTGTATGGCATTTTAAGGTATTTCTGTTATTTTGTCAAAGTCAAATGTGACAGATGACTATGTTCCATAATGGCACTGTTGTCTTTTTGTCTTTGGTGACCTAAATAAACAGATTCATGCAAACAATCTAGACGTCAACACGGTGTATGTACTGTACATGTGTGTCTGGGTCTTTGTCAGTCTGGCTGCACGGTGAAGGAATGGTAACTGGAGACTTTCCAGGGGTGTGTTAACGACGGCCAGCCCTGACGGTTTACACCCACTCTCATTTACAGAGGCGCCACATTAATTCATCTGCTGTAATAGTGACACGCACGCATACGCACCCACACGCACCCACAGGGCACTGCCTTTAATTTAAGGCTGCGCAGACACACATACAGATTTAGAAAATTCAAACCATTCGCATAATCAAACATGCAGTATACAGATACACAGCTGAGCCCATTCACACTCAACAGCAGTGTGACTCTTGTGCCAGACGTATGTTAATAAAGCACACATGATCCGAACCCATTCCAACCCCCCCGCCATCCTGCCCCTCCCTTCAGAGTAGTACCAAACCACTTAATAGGACGGTAGACAAAGCAGGGCTGGGCTGCAGGCAAAAACAAACGCACACAGTCATAGAGCCACACACACACACACACCATCCAAAAACAACCTCACACTTAAACTGAGACTGAACATTTTTTATTTCGTGATTTAATGACTCAGTGTCGTCAGGCCTGTTTTATCTCCAACCTCAGCCATTTTAAAACAGCTTTATACATCTTACACTAAAAGTAATAAAAACAAAAACAGCAGATATTGCTTGACCAGCCGTGCGTCAACATGAACAATTGATGACGATAGATATTTTATGATAAAACCTAAAAGATAAATAACTTGTCCTGAATGCTTCGGGGCTTTTCTTACTGATTGCTTATTTTCTTTGAGCATACTGACATCGGATCGGTTTGTCTCTCTCTCCGTCTCACCTTGTCTTGCTTTCATTTCATGCATGTGTGGGTGTGCGTGTGTGTGTGAGAGAGTAAATAAGTGTACGTGCACTGGGGGAGAGTCACTGGCCTGGTCTTTTCCGTTATAACAGGGAACACTGAGGCCAACTCCTGATTTAAACATCAGTTGTCATAAATGTTTCAGGGCAAGTGGAAGGAGATGGAGGGATTGCTGGCAGCTTTCAGGGAGTGGGGCGGTGGGTGGTGGTGGCGGGGGGAGGGTGTTATGGTGTTTGAGAGCAAGGACATACAAGGAAATAGGAAACAAATTTGGGTGACAAAACATGTGTGAGGATTCGAAAAAAGGTTGGGGCTTAAGGCAGAAAACGATGATCCTACTTCCCCTCTGACATGTCATCTAATATCACATGCATGAAACATTATAAAATGAATGTTAAAAGCAGTCACATGTCAAGCTTATTTAAAATTGAAAAACTTCAGAATCAAAAAAAGTCCAGTGTTTTCTCTCTGTCAGCATGAAGCTAGCACTAATGGTATTCAGTACTAGACACAAGGTGTCCTATATTATAAGTAGACCCACAGTGTTTTACAGTGGAGGTGGGTCACCTCGCCTGAAATCAAGACCGCTTCACTGACATCATGAAAAATGAATACACCTTTATGAAATAAAACATTTAAGAGCAGAGGCAGTACTTCGGACAGAGTTGGTCAGACCTTCATCTTCTAAGTAAATTGATGAATACAACAGTAAACACCTCTATGCAATTTATAAAAAGGTTTTTTTTGGAGCTATAAAAGCTTTCAGTTAACATCAGTTCTGTTCATAAACACAGCAGTAAAACAAGCCTACTACTTCTCATTTATAAGAACTCTTGGAGGTTTACATGCTGCTGTTCCGCGGTGTGGTGGGGTTTAACTGTGTGCTGTGATCAGAGGAAGTTGGATATATTTGTTTGACAAAATGAATACAGGTCGGGGTCATAGGAGACGGCTTTTACCACTTGCCTGTGATAGAAAATCAATAGAAAAACTGATCCAGCTCAACACTTCACTTCCCCTCTCTCTTTTTCATCCTTCATTCCTTCCTTGAGCTTCACTTTCATGACTCTCACCTCCCACTTTTGCTCTCAGTTTGAAATCCAATATCTCTTTTTAATGTGTGTTTGTGGTATACAGGATGCATGAATCCCTATCACCCATCTCCAAGGTCATGAAACAGCTTCCCGTGCTCTCTGATCCACGAGGAGTTCACATCTCCAGCGTACTGCCCCACCTACTGGCTGCAGCACAGACTGCTCGCTGTATGAGCGCTGCCTCGCTCCAGATTCAATTAGCTGAATGGCAGACTGAATCTGGCTAAATGCAGAGTGAGCCTGCTGAAATGAGCGTATAACTGTTGAAGACTAAGGGCTAATAATCAGCCACAATTACATCTGAGAGCTCACATTAAAGAAAATCTAATTCAATACTGTGGGAGTGAGGAGGAAATTGAAACTGAATTGCTGTTGGAGGCTGAAAGAAATACTACTCATATCTACTGGCATCTCAGGCATTACATGTGTCTGCATGTGTGTCACTGATAGAGAACAGACCTTGTCTCATGGCGCGAGCAAGATTTATGTGGGAAAATATTCAATTACACACACACACACACACACACATCTGTACGATCATACCACATAGACTGAAGAGGACAAGACAAGGGCAGAGACACCTTGACTGAGCAGACTTACCTGCACATATTCCACCTGGCTCTCTGCTGGCTCCATGTGGCTGAAGAAAAACAGACGAAGAAAAACAAACGGGAAATGTTAGGCAACTTGATAAGAGAAAAGAACATTTCTGACAGACACACACATGTGTCTGTGTTTGATATGGTCTTGTAACAGGTGCAGTGCATGTTATCCCCGTATTCCCATGACCCACTTCTGCAGCGGCCTCTCCAGTGAGTAAAATATTGTTGCAGGCCAGCTTCATGGAGAACGGGCAGATAACAAACCCCACCGAGCATCTAAGGTTGCCAAATATGGAGCTGGCCTCTCAAATCTCGCAGGCGCAATAACTCACACGTTTACACTCATGATGCATCCGGATCATGTGTCAGAACCCCGCTGCACTGGAGTCTAGGGAGCCATGCTGTGGGTACTTTGTGATACGGAGCGAGCGCGAGCTAAAGGGGTAATTACACTCGCAGACAAGTTTTAAGATCAATCACTCAGCGCAGCTCGAAACTGCACGATGGGTCTCAAAGGGCCCAGAGCAAAGCCGTGTTACACATGACCACAGAGAGGCCAGATCAAAGGGTCCCATCATGGCGGCGGGCTTGGGAATGTTAACAGGTCCCATGACAGAGGAGCTCTACATTCCCTTCATAAACTGTCCTGTGCCTAAATTTATAAAAAAAATGGTTGTACAAATGTACAATATTTTCCCATCATTTGCACTGACAATAACATCAACATGTATCCAGAGAAGAATGTGAGCTGTAAATGGAAAAAACATACCAATCATGCATCAGGCTTTGAAAACAAACAACACCCCAAACCTAGATTACACAAAGGCCATCTAGCTCCATACAGTAGAGCTGGTCAAGCAGCGGTGGTTCAAACACTTACGGACATAACTTGTGTTCATACTTTGAAATGATAGAAAATGATTTAAACCATTCTTGCAAATCAGATTTGGATTAATAATAAGCATTTTAGATGCAGAACCCCACTTCTCCACATAATCCTTTGCAAATCCCCTTGCAGTTATTTGATTACTGCGGTAAGGCGATCTTTATTTCGTTTCTAAATAATTGATCAAACAAACAAAAAAAGCCCAGCAATCATTTAGTTTACTAAAGGGGCGATGTGAAACACGTTCATGCTTGATGTAATTGAACTTATCACACATAATACGTGCTTGATATTATCTACTTTGTAAACTTGAAGCTGATATTTTATTTGACTTTTATTTACTTAATATTGAAACTCTTTTGCAATCCTACTACGGTCTACTCTGTGCAGGCAGCAGCCACATCCGACTCAAGCATGTACAGAGGTTGTCATATGTTGTAAACTGTAAAGCCTGACACAAACTTGTGATGTTGTGCTATATAATTCAAATTCAATTGAAATTGGCTTTGACTAAGGCTGCAATTAATAAACATTTTCATTATGAACAAATTTGCAGGTTATTTTCTTGATGAATCAATGAACAGTTTAGTCTATTAAATGTCATAAAGAAGTGAAACATGTTCATCGCAATGTCAGAGAATTAAAAGTAATGTATTGAAATAGTATGTTTTATCTGACCGAAGTTCCACTACCAAAAGATGTGAGTTTAATGTCACATATGACAGCGAAAAGCATCAAATCCTCACATTTGAAATACTGAAACTGGTGAATGTTTGGCATTTTTGCTTGAAAACGAACTGAAATGATTGATCTGGTGCTGATGAAGTTTCTGTTGATCGATTAATCCAGTAATCGACTAATGGTGGGGCATCTCCCTGTTCATCCAATTCTATAATTGGGGCCCAACAAAGGAGTTCACGTGCACAGGCAAAACATGCAAAATTCATAATGATGCCAGCTGAACAGACTATCCCAGAGACATCAAGACAGCCATATCTAACCAGTAACTGACACTGTCTGAGAATAAATTAATAAGGTATTCCAAAAAAAAAGCAGACCGAGTCAGGCATGGGAGAGCTGCAGGAGAGGGACTTGGACAGCAGGCTGACAGACTGAAGGACTTGTGATTTAGAGCTGAACAGGCAAGAAATATCTCTGATGTGACCTCCACCGTACAGCCGTATTTCCCACGGTTCCTGGGCTGAACTAATGGGCTGATGCTGCACGCTCGCACGTGCATGCCCCATGCATACCAGCACAACTGCAGCCACGCATGCATGCACACACACACACACACACACACACGCACGAGCGCGCGCGCGCAGACCGCGGTGTAAATCCCACTGTAACACGATACACGCACGCACTCTGCTGTCATGCGTGGAATTTTGGAGGCGGGGAGACCTCGGCATGTCACGGTGAAAGCAGCGAGAAAAACGCAATGTGCTCTGCTGAGAGGAGGAGTTACACGATTTTTTATTCTCTCATCAAACTCTCCAATAAAGTTCTGAGTTTGTTGATGAATCCACTTCAACGTCATAATAACGCACACAATGAGCTGCGCTCAAAGAAAGCTCGTTCGTGTTAGTCTCCTGTAACAAATCAATGTGAAATAAAAAAAACAACAACATCAGATCAACAGTGCGGCAAAGAATCAATATCACTTGCTGCCTTTAAAAAGTGAAGTAATGAATCCTGTTATGGTCTCACCTCACACCCATCGCCTGAGGCAAGTCCTGTTCACAGCCAAGATAACACGAACTGTGAACTGTCCAACTTCTCCAGTGGGTCCACGCGCAGGTAAAAGAAACAAACCGCTTTGCGCCCCCTGGCTTACGCACAGAGCATGAACGGAATAAAAGTGTGCTGAGGCTCCCCTTGTGACCCACAGTTCCTTCACTCACAGCAATGTGACTGTATTGTGTGGTAATGTTACTTAACATATTACTTTAGTGACATGCAACATGTACAGTGGCCTATATGCTTGAGTTAATATGCCAAAAATAACAATGTTAAAATGCTTCATTACAAGTAAAAGCCCTTAATTGAAAGTACAGTATTCTCAGCAAAATCTACTCAGTTAAAATAAAAAGTACTGTTTCTGCAGAGCAAATGGCCTCTGGTACTTATATATGATCAAGCTTTATTAATTTGACCAGCTTTTTGTAAGGGGTCACAAACTAATTGGCTGGGAAACACCGGTTTATTCTTGAACACAGTGTTGTATTTTTTAAAAATGATGGCAAGTAACATACAATGGAAATATGAAACTTTAGTTCAGTAAAGAACTTGAGTACTTGTTTCCAGCCCTGACTTTGACACACCCTCCTCAAGACAGGGCCTCTAGATGAGGTAGCAATACAGGAGCCACCTTAAGACCTCTATCAGGTCTGTTAATACAGCGCTTTAGTGCAAACCAGCTGACACACCTCTTTTCCCAGTTTCCCACATTGGAAATATAACACATAGCTTACAAAGGGTTCATAGATTCATTAGTGACTCAAGTGTAGACTTTCTTTTTTCTGACCTTTGCTTAGTTTTATTAAAACTTTCCTGAGCCAGATAATAGCCAACCAGTAATTGTTCCTCCTTCAATGACTTTATTGTCCAAGAAGAACAACAGGAAGGTAAATGAGCTGTTGGCATAAGAAAGAAAGATAATCACCTGTAAATGCAGTCAGAATTTGGGTTTCCTTCCGTCACATCTCTGCTCTCTGCCTCCACCTTTGGGTCCGGTGCAGGCCCGGAGTCTAACTCATCCTTTTCCTGTGTCTGATCATCTCCCCGGCTGAGTGGAGGTGAAAAAGTCTCCTTAGGGTTCAAGTTCTGCTTGTCACAAGTCTCTGGTTGGAGTGCAGCTGTTGAGCCACCAGATGGCGACATGGCAGAGATGGTGTTTGTGACACTAGTTCCGCCTGTAGGTTCAGGCTGGGTCTTGGGATCAGTGAGGGAGCCTTTGCAGAGCCCAGTGTCAGCTTTAGCTCCAGCTTCATCTCCAGACACTTTGGATGAGGCTGCTGTGGGCCTTCGGGACACACATTGGTCCCCCGCAGGTCGCTGGCTTTGACTTCTGCCGATGCTGCTCTTGTCTTTACTCTTCTTATTGCTGCTGGGGCCTCCTAGAGAAATCAGAAATGGACGTCTTAGTATTCTCACAGGGATTGTTGTCCTGTTTCTCAAAAAAGGCGTTTGCCAGCCTGAAAGAGTTATCCCGTAAGTGTTGTTCGTAACTTCTGCTGCCTTACCTTTCTTGTCTTTCATCCTCCTCAGAAGCCGTGGCAGCGTACCCATGTGTGTGTAGCTCTCACTGGAGCGGACGTAGCTGGCAGTGCGAGGACGCATGGTGCCCATGTCGTCCATCGTCTCGACAACTGGATCCAGGAGTGACAGTGCAGTGGCCCCGGCGCAGTCAGTGCCATCTCCAGGCACACATCCGGCTCCAGACTTGGAAGGAGAGGACTTGGACTCCGATTTCTCGGTGGAACGGCGAAAAGAGAGGTTGGTGAGGCTACCAAACCACTTGAAGCCTTGAGACGGGAACAGTTAGAAAAGAAGAGGAAATGCTCATAATGTGGCAACAAATCATATGTTGAGATATGGCGATACACATATTTTGTCGTCTAAAGCAGTAATAACAAGCACATACTAATTCAACTTTCTCAGAAAATCTGATTATTTTGCACTAAAGTTCTCAATTAAAGCAATCTATGAATGCAACTTCAATAATAAAACAAAATGTCTCTGCTCCGTTGTTTCAGCAAAATTCCCCTTTGTAGAGCTAGTGTTTCGATTGTGTTGCTGTACAGATGAGATGAAGTGGGACGTCTGTGCGGATGGATGCATAAGGTCCTGCTTGGTTGTCCCTGTGTGTCGACATCAGCAGTCATGCACATGTTTTGTTATTTATATAAAGGCCTGCTTTTACAAAGCTGTAAATAATTCAACAATCATATAGTGCATATAAATTAAATACAATAAACTGAAAGCCAAAGCAGGTCCAACATCTCTTCATTTCTGTACACGTCTTCCTTTCTCAATAGAAATCATTTTAGCTGCAAGTTGATTTTTGCATGTCATCATTATCGCCAAAATGTTACAAAACTGATATGACATATGACACACACACACACACACATTCACACACACAATACTCACTTAGTTTCCGTATGCTCATGATGTGACTGCAGTGTGAGTATAAGATCGGCTGCAGGTGGTTGACAGATGGACCATCTGAGAGGAGCTGCAGAACAACAGATAAAAGAGACCCAGATAGGGGAGGATAACTTGTTGAGGCGGAGAAACCGCAGTTCCTCCCTGCGAACTGTTTTGCATGTGTGACAGAGACAAAACTGAGAGATGAGAGGCAGCGACAGGGGCAGGGCAGACTGTGACACTTCCTGTGTGAAGCTGAAACGACCAATGGCAAGAGGAAATGAAAAGATGAGATGAGATGACAGGGGTTGAAAGCATAAAATAAGAATATGAATATATGAAACGTGTGAGTGTGCCCTCTGACCCTGTGAATGAAAAGGTGACAGAAAGAGTGGTGATGGAAACTGGGACCGGTGTTTAAAAACAGAAGTGCTGATTGGTCACTTTTGTCCCATTGAAAGTGAAATAAGTAAATAACTATCACCTTTGATACCACTGATTATTTGAAGCTCATCTTCGCAGTGCAGTTTATATACATATAGTTAATGTTTGATAGGGGTGAGATTCTGTAATCTCTCTGCTGCACACTTGATTAAGACACCTCCTCACCTTGAGAGAAAATAAATGATTCAATCAAAAGTGAAAGAATGTTTATGTGGTAATCGGGACCTGTTGTTGTTTGTCAGCACATCTCAGATCAATGCAGGACGTTCTGCAGAGCACCTGGGATTTGAATTAGATGTGTATGAGTCACACCAGGTACTAATGCATTGAGGACATGTGTCTTGTTCTTTTACTTCAGGTAGCACTGATGTGTAAGCCGCTTGCTTTTTCCACAGGATGGAAGTGTTGCAATGACAGCTATATTTGGGAGATCATCTTAGATTCCTGATGTAAGGGTGGTGTGTTAGAGCTGGTGTGTCATTCAGCATTATCAAGTTGAAAGTTCAATTATGTTTGATTAAATTAGACTGACTTTTGGTTATGTGTATAAAATGGTGCAAAAGACATGTAGAATATTCCAATTTGATGGAAAAGTTCAGTTATATGTTTTTTTTTTTAGACTGTCCATTACCTGACAGGTAACGTTGTCATGCAAATAATGACTAGCAAAGCAAAATGGTATGAAACCAGAAACCAGAGTTTGCATCCTGTTCCCCTCAGCATTCAACAATGGTTTCTTTTAACCTCAATCTGTTCTTTGTTTTTGTCACTTTGCTCACTTTGCATGTTAAATTCCAGGACGGCTTCAATAACATGACTTTTGCATAAGATAGATAAATGTTCTAAAGTGAGAAGGAGTAGTTTTTTTTTTATCCTTCTTCCCCTTTCTTCAAAGATAATGAAAAAATAAAATACAACATTTATTATGAAAAGGCATGCCTTTAAAACAGAACTGATCACAATATTGCTTTGTTGTCGTTTGTTTTTTTCCTTCTCCTATTTGTTTATTCTTTTAAATTATTCCCCATATTCAATAGTTTATATAATTTAAGAATAATGAAGAGGCAAACTCCACAAATGCAAAACAATTATATTTTCTATTTAATTTGGACATTTTATGTAGTGTGTGAAGTTCTTTAAAAAGAATGCATGACATGGTAAATTCACATCAGGGAGATCAGTGAATCTCACAGTAGTATAATGTAAACTAGTCTATATGGTGTCTTGTGTCAGCCATATGCCTTCATGGGCTTTCACTTCCTTCTGACTTTTGGGCGTGCAGCTTCTGCAACGATGCTTTTTGTCTTCCTGTCACGACCAAACCAGTAAATATGTAGCCCTGAAACTGTGTAGTGTGAAGGCGTATAACAGAGGTAAATACACTATGAAGCAAAATGAAACTCCAGCACATCTGAAATATCTAAACTGTCCTTCATTACTAAAGACAATATCAGCAGCTGAAACTGGAGGTAATTCTACAATTGTAACATATTTATTTTATTGTTGTTTATTTTCCTCCATTTTCCACCCAAAGGTGCACTGAAGGTACTAGTTCACATTTTACTGCTCACTTGTTTTATCATCAGATTGTCTGGTTTTATTGTGTCAACAAAACTAAAGGTCACTTTTAACGTGTTACTCAAAACACTCTTCAAATGCACATGTGTATCCTCAACCAAAGAGCTCTAGAAGTCTACCCACAAAGAGGAACTGTGGTGAGTTCATACAGAAACCGTTAGAGATCATTAGCTTCTGTTTGAACCCCATGCAATCATTTGTGTGTCTTAAAGTGTGTTGTTGTGAAGCCATATTTGTCTGTCCCTCGGGGTAATGACTTGTTCAGGACAAGGTCCTCTTAGGGGATAAGGTCCAATGGGACACCTGGTTTTGGTTCAGCCTACAGACTCCACCAAATGAGCATGACTCTGTAATGCACCAGTATGGAGGTGGATGGGGTAAAGTAGTATTATGATACAGTGTGGTAAACACAAACACACAAACATGAGAGCACACACACACACTGAACCTGGAGTAATGGGGGGGACTTTCATTTTGGGCTTCGTGTCCCTACCATTTTTTTTCCACAGAAGTAATTTGTTAGAGTGAATGACTGTGTGTTTGTGTTGTGTTTGTGTTGTGCCTGTGTGTGTGCAATTCTTTAATTTCACCTTGATGAAAAACAAGACTTCAATAATTCAGCTCTCTGCCTCCTCATACGATGACAAATATCCGTCGCTTTGACCCGAGGCGACGCTGAGACACACCGCCGAGTGAGAGACGGACAAAACTGAAACCTTATTTACACAAAAATAGAAAAGCTGTCAGCCTGACTTAGGTCCCTGCACATGTCGCTTTATTTATATATATAAAACTTTATTTCCAACATTTCTTACCACAAGTATAAATATCAAGACAATTCTGATCCTTCATCATTTCATAACACATCCTAATAACAGTAATTATAGTACCAAATATTACACAATTGTTTCTCTAGCCCCTTAAGAAACATAATATAAAAGCTATACAGGACTACTATGTACAGTGTACTAACATGTTTATGTTCCTTAATAGGCTGTAGTAATACTTGTTATTCTTGCTTATTGATTATATAGGGTTATTTATGAGTTTGATATTTCTGCATAGGAATAAAGGAACCGATAGATAATACGCATCTAATAGATGTAAGGTAACTATCTTCCTTTTTTATCATAATAATGTCAGAAATAGAACATACACATGATTCTATCTTATTAATGAAGACATTTACACCTTTTACAAACCCTACAGTGTAGCCTAAAAAACAGAAAAAACATGGTTTTATGATTTTTCCGCAATATGTTCCGTATCTGCTGTACATTACTGTGCAATACAGGTCGTGTGTTTCGATAAATTCACAAAATCATTCTCTCTGACGTTACTGCAAGATCAACCGAGTTACAAGTCTTTATTAGAATGTGATTGTGAACTTTGGTATGATCCTGTTGTTGTCAGCTTTCGGCTGGAGGATCAATGACAACTGCTCACTTTGATTTACTGAGGACACTCTGAATGCTGTAGTCAGCTGCAGTGTACAACAATGCAAAAAATAACAACAACTCCATTACAGTAAAAGTCCTCCGATATTTAAAAGTGCAGAATATTATCAGTAAAATTGTTACTGATGCAATAACGTGTATGAAGCATTTCAGCGTTGTAAATAAAGTTTAACTGCGTTAAATACTGTTGTGCTACATAACCTATAAAATGTATCATATTTGATAAACTACAGTAATCAGATGAGGGTTTGAAACAAAAGCACGACAGAAAAAGAGAGAAATGTTTTGAAAGTGAAAGAATGAAAGTCACAGCTGCTGCTATACAACTGAACATTGTCCTTGTGTTGTCCCCAGAGACTGAGGACAACAGTTAGTTCTCCTACCTGTCTCTTATTATTGTATACTGTCCAATAAAAGAGAATTGCTGCAAAAAACGATAATCGCAAAATGAAATGTCGGTGGAAGAGGAAAAGGTCAAGACGACAGTGTTTTCCAACTGTGTTCTCATCGGGTGTAGGCACTTTGTGTTGATGTGGCCTCTATGGTCATACAAAAGGGAGGCTGAATTGTTGAAGCCTTGTCATCAGGATGCAATTAAAGCAGCACACATTCATCCATGGCATACACATCCTTTGTTGTACTTGTGAGGACCTTGACTTGACATCACACTCTCAGTATTCTATGTACTGTTTCCAAAAGTTAAAAACAATTACATGACATTTAATGAAATGGTTGAGCCATCATACCTGGTTCTGGATACATTAGGACGATATGGATATAAAGACAGTAGACTAGGAAATGGGTACCCACCAATAGATACTCCTGTGCTTTGTTAATGTTTGTCTTCACCATTTCTTCTGTAAAATATATATAAATTGGTACAAATAAAATGTGACCACAAGTCAACTGTAGGTATATTAGTGAGTGCATGTAAACATTTCTTTAGTATCTGTTTAGAAATGGTTCTGCTTGCAGGTTCTTTATTGCAGGGGGAATACAGTATGTAGTTGTAATTGGATAGTGGACTTAAAATACATTATGGCATTTAAAATGTGTCATCATGTGTTTTAGACTGTGGGGGGCGCCAAAGACAATTTAATCTTTCGTTAGAGAGAAGACCAACACAGACGATTCCCAGCAAAGAACATGTAATGCATGACACACAGCCAAATATTCAACATCAGCTGTGGATACTAGCATCTGTTTTTCTACTCCTCAGAAGAAAGACTACAACTTATAGACATAGTATAAACCTAATGTACTTCATGCATTAAGGGATCAAACATGTCATTAAGACATTAATTAGGAGCTCTTTATGAATAATCATCTCATGCAAACACTCAATTACCCAACAATCTGCTGCTGTTCATTCCCTTTGTGCTCTGGGAGGGAAGTCAAGAGGCCTGCTTAGTAATAGGGAGGTCTGTGTGTGTGTGTGTGTGTGTGTGTGTGTGTGTGTGTGTGTGTGTGTGTGTGTGTGTGTGTGTGCGTGCACCTGTGTGCATGTGTGTGTGTCTTTAATGAGTCCAGCCAGCTGAAGGTGACTCATCTGCACCAGGGGCAGCTCTCATAGTAACACTCTTCTCTATTGGTGAGGTGTTGAATCATGAGGAATAAACAGCGATTCTTAAATTAAA